AGATCTTGGAGTCCTCGTGGACAACAAGTTAAACATGAGCAAACAATGTGATGTGGCAGCAAAAAAAGCCAATGGGATTTTGGCCTGCATCAATAGTAGCATAGTGTCTAGATCTAGGGAAGTAATGCTACCCCTCTATTCTGCTTTGGTTAGACCACACCTGGAATATTGTGTCCAATTCTGGGCACCACAATTCAAGAGAGATATTTACAAGCTGGAGGGTGACTAAAATGATCAAAGGTCTGGAGAACAAGCCCTATGAGGAGCGGCTTAAGGAGCTGGGCATGTTTAGCCTGAAGAAGAGAAGGCTGAGAGGAGATATGATAGCCATGTATAAATATGTGAGAGGAAGCCACAGGGATGAGGGAGCAAGCTTGTTTTCTGCTTCCTTGGAGACTAGGACACAGAACAATGGCTTCAAACTACAAGAGAGGAGATTCCATCTGAACATGAGGAAGAACTTCCTGACTGTGAGAGCCGTTCAGCAGTGGAACTCTCTTCCCCGGAGTGTGGTGGAGGCTCCTTCTTTGGAAGCTTTTAAGCAGAGGCTGGATGGCCATCTGTCAGGGGTGCTTTGAATGCAATATTCCTGCTTCTTGGCAGGGGGTTGGACTGGATGGCCCATGAGGTCTCTTCCAACTCTTTGATTCTATGATTCTATGATTCTATGGATGAGCCTTATCCTGATAGGGCGCACTGTATCTGCGTTGCGCTCCTTGTCGCCATAGTTCAGAGCTTTCCGTGACATGTCATGTCAACGTCAACTTAAGGAGCAACCTCTGTGTCTATACAAAATAAGCAATAAATCATATACAATAGAGTCTCGCTTATGCAACATTCTGTATTATCCAATGCAATCTACTTCCCGCCCAGATCCACAGCTGTTTCAATACATTGCCATGTGTGGGTGCTATATTCATACATATGGTAATTACGAGGGTTGAATGAAAAGTAATGCCTCCACCTTCGTAACTCCTCAACAAATGGTAGTACTGGTATGCAGCGGGTACTGGCTTGTTCAGTAGACTCTCCTCTACAGTACGCTACATCCACGGCATTCCCCGCATCTACCCAGCTTGTAACTCTATCGAAAAAAGAGATCAGATGAGTCTGGCGTGACTTGTTTTTGATAAATCCATGTTGACTATTAGCAATGACCGCATTTGTTTCTAAGTGTTTGCAGACCACTTCCTTAACAATCTTTTCCAGAATCTTGCCTGGTATCGACGTGAGGCTGATCGGACATTGGTCATTGTTTGGGTCATCCTTTTTTCCCTTCTTGAAGATTGGGACCACATTGGCCCTCCTCCAATCTGCTGGAACTTCTACCATTCTCCAAGAACTCTCAAAGATGGTTGCCAATGGTTCTGAAATGACTTCCGCTAGTTCCTTCAATACTCTGGGGTGTAGTTGATCTGGCCCTGAAAGGGGACTTGAACTCATTTAGAGCGGCCAGGTATTCCTGTATGACTTGTTTCCCAATTTGGGGTTGGATGTCCTCTAATCCCTCATCCACTCCGTCTTGCTGAGGTTGAAGATGACTTTCTTTTTGTGAGAAGACCGAGGCAAAGAAGGCATTAAGTAGTTCTGCCTTTTCCCTATATCCCCTGTCAGCATTGCCCCATCTTCTCCTCGAAGAGGCCCTATCGCCTCCTTGTTTTTCCTTTTTCTACTGACATAAAAAGAAGCCCTTTTTATTGTTTTTAATGTCCCTGGCAAGCCTGAGCTCGTTTTGTGCTTTAGCCTTGCGGACCTTTTCCCTACAGGTGTTGGCTATTTGTTTGAATTCTTCTTTGGTGATTTCTCCCTTTTTCCACTTCTTGTGCATGTCTCTTTTGAGTCTTAGCACAGTTAGAAGTTCTTTGGACATCCATTCTGGCTTCTTTGCACTTGTCCTATCTTTGTCGGCACGGTTTGCAATTGTGCCTTGAGTATTTCACTCTTGAGAAATTCCCATCCATCTGTAACTCCCTTGTCTTTTAGTATCTGTGTCCACGGAATGCTGCTCAGTGTTTCCTTCATTTTTCGGAAATGTATTCGGGTGGAGTTTGGTCCAGATCCATCACTGTTTGAGTCCACAGTGATCTCTGGGTGTAGATGAACTACAACTCCAAAACCAAAGGACACTGCCCACCAAACCCTTCCAGTATTTTCTGTTGGTCATGTTCAGAACTGTGTGCAAAGTTTGGGTCAATTCCATCGTTGGAGGGATTCAGAATGCTCTTTGATTGTAGGTGAAATATAAATCCCAGCAACTACAAATCCCAAATGACAAAATCATTTTTTTTGAGTGAAGGACATACATTGGGTTGTTAGGTGTCTTGTGTTCAAATTTGGTGTCAATGGCAAACATTCAATGCCAAAGACACACAACAGATATAGACAGACAGTCAGAAGCTTTTTCTGGCCGCAGAGGAGCTGTCGCTTTCATTGTCCATCTGCGACACTGATGAAGTACTTCCGTATTCCTCGCATGCTTTGCTGGAGTCTTTTTTTATGGCCCTGTAAATTAGTTAAATTGGCCTCCCCACACATAGGTGGTACCTAATTTTCCTACTTGACAGATGCAACTGTCTTTCAGGTTGCAAAGGTCAACAACAAGCTACACAATTGGTCAGAAGCTCACTCCGACCCGGGCTGGCTTCGAACTTATGACACTCAGCCAGCTGCTCCACAGTCCCGGTGGAAGCATTAATTAAAAACGAAAGTAAAGGCTAATAAATATTTATTATTTTTCTCTAATAAATAGTGTTTTTGTTGTTGTTCATTCGTTCAGTCGTTTCCGACTCTTCGTGACTTCATGGACCAGCCCACGCCAGAGCTCCCTGTCAGCCGTCACCACCCCCAGCTCCCCCTCTTCCTTTTTCCTTCCATTTTCCCCAGCATCATTCCCTTCTCTAAGCTTTCTCGTCTTCTCATTATGTGTTGACCATCACCACCCCCAGCCCCTTCAAGGTCAATCCAGTCACTTCAACGATGCCATCCATGCACCTTGCCCTTGGTCGGCCTCTCTTCCTTTTTCCTTCCATTTTCCCCAGCATCATTCCCTTCTCTAAGCTTTCCTGTCTTCTCATGATGTGTCCAGCCGTCACCACCTCCAGCTCCTTCAAGGTCAATCCAGTCACTTATTTATTTATTTATTTATTTATTTATTTATTATTTAAACTTCTATGCCGCCACTCCCTTCCCTGGGGCTCGGAGCGGCTTACAAGAATGGCTAAAATCTAACAAAATTTAAAAGCAATTTAAAACAATTTAAAAACAACACTATCAAACATTAAAAGCCTGTCGAAACAGGTATGTCTTACATGCCCTGCGGAAAGCTGGTAAGTCCCGCAGGGCACGAACCTCAGGTGGCAGAGCATTCCAGACTGATGGCGCCACTGCTGTGAAGGCTCTGCGTCTGGTTGCCGCTAGACGCAAGGTCTTGACACTGGGGACCTCCAATAGATCTTGGTCCTCAGAACGGAGGGATCTCTGGGGTTGGTAGGGGGTGAGGCGGTCCCTCAGGTACATCGGCCCCAGACCATGCAAGGCCTTAAAGGTGAGTACCATCCCTTTGAAAGTGATCCGGTGCTCAATTGGTAACCAATGCAGCTGTAGTAAGATTGGTGTTATGTGGCATCTCATCGGAATTCCCGCAAGAAGCCGAGCAGCTGCGTTTTGTACCAACTTGAGCTTCCGAATCACCGACAGAGGGAGGCCAATGTAGAGGGCGTTACAGTAGTCCAGTCTTGAGATGACTGTGGCCTGGATCACTGTAGCTAGGTCGTCCCTGGACAGGTAGGGGGCCAGCCGTCTAGCCTGCCGCAGGTGAAAGAAGGCGGTTCTGCTCACGGCGGAGACCTGGGCCTCCATTGTCAGCAGAGGGTCCAAAAGGACTCCCAGACTCTTGACCAATGATGACGGGCGTAACGCCTCACCATCCAGGGTGGGCAGATGGATGTCCCCACTGCCCGGTCCACCCAGCCATAGGATCTCCGTCTTTGCTGGATTCACCCTCAACCTGCTGGCACGCAGCCATCCAGTCACGGCCTCAATGAGGCACTGATGGAAACAATCGGGTACAGAGTCCGGTCGGCCTTCCATCTTCAGCACCAGCTGAGTGTCATCGGCGTACTGATAACACTCAAGCCCAAAACCTCGAACCAGCTGAGCAAGTGGTCGCATATAGATGTTAAACAACAGAGGGGAGAGAATGGCCCCCTGAGGAACCCCACAAGATAGAGGGCTTTATTTCCTGGAGGATGGACTGGTTGGATCTTCTCCACGTTGTCTCCCTCTATTTTCCAGTTGTCAATCATTCTTGTTTCCATAATCTTGATGTTTAGCTGCAACCCAGCTTTTTCACTTTCTTCTTTCACCTTGATTAGAAGGCTCCTCAATTGTTCCTCGCTTTCAGGCATCAAAGTGGCGTCATCTGCATATCTAAGGTTGTTAACGTTTCTTCCAGCAATAGATAGCATAGTGTTAGACATTACCAAACAGATATTAACAAACTTCAAAAAACAAAACAAAGCTAGAGCGTGCGTGGGTGTGTGCAAATGAAAGGTGGCATCGACGTATTTTGTTTTGGGTTGTTGTAAGTTTTTTCGGGCTATATGGCCATGTTCTAGAGGCATTCTCTCCTGACGTTTCACCTACATCTATGGCAAGCATTCTCAGGAGTAGTGAGGTCTGTTGGAACTAGGAAAATGGGTGAACTGTGTTGTAGGTTTTTTCAGGCTATATGGCCATGTTCTAGAGGCATTCTCTCCTGACATTTCGCCTGCATCTATAGCAAGCATCCTCAGAGGTAGTGAGGTCTGTTGGAACTAGGAAAATAGGTTTATATATCTGTGGAATGACCAGGGTTGGACAAAGGACTCTTGTCTGCTGGAGCTAGGGGTGAATGTTTCAACTGACCACCTTGATTAGCACTTGATGGCCTGGCAGTGCCTGGGGCAATCTTTTGTTGAGAGGTGATTAGAGGTATTTCGTTTTGTTTCCAAACCTCACAGAAAACTCCCACACGCCTCTGTTGGAGGGCACCGTCACTCAGATGACCCCGGAAGAGCATTATCGGCGCATGATGTCCGCTCTCAACGAACACGGCACCTTTGAGGAGCAGCAGCAGCAGCAGCAACGCCTCTATCAGTTGGCCAACAGCATGGCAGTGCCCAGCCACAGCGGTGAGTGCGCATAAGCTTCTCTCTCTAATGTATGAAGAATATTGGTTCATACCTATATCCTGAAATGTCACTGGACTCCCAGGGAGCATATTGCACTGTTGAACAGCTCTTACAGTCATAGAAAAATGCTATGTACATTAAGTCTCCTTGTGTAGAGGTTTTTAAGCAGAGGCTGGATAGCCATCTGTCAGGGGTGCTTTGATTGTGTTCTACTGCCTGGCAAAAAGGGGGTTGGACTGGATGGCCCTTGGAGTCTTTTCCTGCTCTGATCCTGGCACTACTACTCAATATGCTCGAATGTGAACACTGGTGGAGTTTGGGGGGAAATAGACCTTGACATTTGGGAGTTGTAGTTGCTGGGATTTATAGTTCACCTACAATTTAAGAGCATTCTGAACTCCACCAACGATGGAATTGAACCTATCTTGGGCACAAAGAGCTCCCACAACCAACAAAAATACTGGAAGTGTTTGGTGGGCATTGACCTCGAGTTTGGGAGCTGTAGTTCACCTACATTTAGAGAGCAGTGTGGGCTCAAAGAATAATGGAACTGGACCAAACATGGCTCTAATACTCAATATGCTTGAATTTGAACACTGGTGGAGTTTGGGGGGAAATAGACCTTGACATTTGGGAGTTGTAGTTGCTGGGATTTATAGTTTGCCTGCAATTAGGCAAACTATAAATTCCACCAACGATGGAATTGAACCTATCTTGGGCACACAGAACTCCCATGACCAACAGAAAATACTGGAAGTGTTTGGTGGGCATTGACCTTGAGTTTTGGGAGCTGTAGTTCACCTACATCCAGAGAGCAGTGTGGACTCAAAGAAAGATGGTTCTGCACCAAACATGGCACTACTACTCAATATGCTTGGTTTTGAACACTGGTGGAGTTTGGGGAAAATAGATTTATAGTTGTTGGGATTTATAGTTCACCTACAATCAAAGAGCATTTTGAACTCCACCAATGATGGAGTTGATCTTATCTTGGGATTTATAGTTCACCTACAATCAATGACCATTCCGAACTCCACCAACGATGGAATTGAACCTATCTTGGGCACACAGAACTCCCACGACCAACAGAAAATACTGAAAGAGTTTGGTGGGCAATGGCCTTGTGTTTAGGAGTTATAGTTCACCTACATCCAGAAAGCATAGTGGACTCAAACAACGATGGATCTGGACCAAACTTGGCATGAATACTCAATATGCCCAAATGTGAACACTGGTGGAGTTTGGGGAAAATAGACCTTGACATTTGGGAGTTGTAGTTGCTGGGATTTATAGTTCACCTCCAATCAAAGAGCATGCTGAACTCCACCAATGATAGAATTGGGCCAAACATCCTACACAGAACCCCCAAGACTAACAGAAAATACTGTGTTTGGGTTGTTGTAGGTTTTTTTTTGGCTAAAGGAAATTTACTATTATTTATATCATAGTGTTATTATTTATTTATTATTATTGATTTATTTACACTGGGTTGTTGTAGGTTTTTTCCGGCTACTCCAAAAGGAAATTTACTATTATTTATATTATAGTGTTATTATTTATTTATTTATTTATTATTTACACTGGGTTGTTGTAGGTTTTTTCGGGCTGTATGGCCATGTTCTAGAGGCACTTTCTCCTGACGTTTCGCCTGCATCTATGGCAAGCATCCTCAGAGGTAGTGAGTTCTGTTGGAAATAGGAAAAGGGGTGAACTGTGTTTTCTGGTGGTTTTTGGTGCCCCCTCTGACACCCCATTTGCGACCACCCCCAGGTTGGGAGATGCTGTTCTATGGCGAAGTAAGCTCAAGTTCTCTTCCATCTCTCAGCTGGACTAACTGGGGAAAGTAGGTCCAGGCTGGGATCAGGCACAGCTTCGATTCCCGCCAGCACAAAGTGCTGTTTATCTATGGCACCGGCGGACGTTTAATAATTTAGGATCCCTTTGGGGAGGGGGGGGGCTTAATTGCTTGTCTCTGCTTCTCTCCCCGCTTTCTCCGGCACATGCTGCCCTCCATCAACATTAATCCCGCACCCTCCCTTCTCCCCGCCTGGAGCTGCCATCCCTGGAGCATCCCTCTGTCAATCACTCTTGATTTCCGAACCGTCGGAGGGAGCGGAGGGAGCCAAGCATTGTAAATAACACGTCCTCTGTATTTGTGGGGGGCGAGAGGGGTGGGTCATGGCGGTCATTCGGATCAATGCCGCAGCCCTCCCCTCTGCTGCAATAAAGCCCTTTTCGGATAATTAATTTATCAACAAGGGAAAGCTGCGTGTTCAGTATGTTCTCCGTTGAGTCCTCATCCTGTTATTGGCTTTCCTGAGTCCTGAGTAGCGTACCTGGATTTCAGGAAGGCCTTCTTCGACAAGGTCCACCATGACCTTCTGGCAAACAAACTAGTCCAATGTGGGCGAGGCAAAACTACGGTGAGGTGGATCTGGAATTGGTTAAGTGGGTGAATTCTCCCCAAGGCTTCCTCCTCTTCATCCTGGAAAGAAGTGACAAGTGGAGTGCCATCAGAAGGGTTCCGTCCTGGGCCTGGTCCTCATTGGGATCTTTATTAATGACTTAGATGAAGGGCTAGAAGGCAGGATCATCAAGTTTGCAGACGACACCAAATTGGGAGGGAGAGCCAAGACTCCAGAGGACAGGAGCAGGATTCAAAACGATCTTGACAGATTAGAGAGATGATGGGCCAAAACTAACAAAATGAAGTTCAACAGGGACAAATGCAAGAGACTCCACTTTGGCAGAAAAAACGAAATGCAAAGATACAGAATGGGGGACAATGCCTGGCTCGAGAGCAGTACGTGTGAAAAAGATCTTGGAGTCCTCGTGGACAACAAGTTAAACATGAGCCAACAATGTGATGTGGCGGCAAAAAAAGCCAATGGGATTTTGGCCTGCATCAATAGGAGCATAGTGTCTAGATCTAGGGAAGTCATGCTCCCCATGCTCTATTCTGCCTTGGTTAGACCATTTACCTGGAATATTGTGTCCAATTCTGGGCACCACAATTCAAGAGAGATATTGACAAGCTGGAATGTGTCCAGAGGAGGGCAACTCAAATGATCAAGGGTCTGGAGAACAAGCCCTATGAGGAGCGGCTTAAGGAGCTGGGCATGTTTAGCCTGAAGAAGAGAAGGCTGAGAGGGATATGATAGCCATGTATAAATATGTGAGAGGAAGCCACAGGGAGGAGGGAGCAAGCTTGTTTTCTGCTTCCCTGGAGACTAGGACGCGGAACAATGGCTTCAAACGACAAGAGAGGAGATTTCATCTGAACATGAGGAAGAACTTCCTGACTGTGAGAGCCGTTCAGCAGTGGAACTCTCTGCCCCGGAGTGTGGTGGAGGCTCCTTCTTTGGAAGCTTTGAAATAGAGGCTGGATGGCCATCTGTCAGGGGTGATTTGAATGCAATATTCCTGCTTCTTGGCAGAAGGGGTTGGACTGGATGGCCCATGAGGTCTCTTCCAACTCTTTGAGTCTATGATTCTATGATTCTGCATCGTCTTGGGTTGACGCACCAAGTTCTGGCTAGCGTGAAGGTCGTGTGTGCAGAACTGAAGATCTCTCCACCTGTCCTTCTCTTCCTTTTTGGAAACAGAAGGCAAATCCTCCCACCAAAAGTCCTTCTTCACTGTGATTGCCAAAGGGAGGGCTGTTTGAGACTCCAAGCAGGGAGGGGAGAGCATGATGCGCATGATGCGCATGATGCGCATGCGCAGGTGAAGGAGAGCATGCAAGGGTGGAGAGAGGTTTGCGCCATGGAGTCCCTTCAACGCATGAGTTCACTGTGCAAAGATTGGTTTAATTCCATCGTTGGTGGAGTTCACAGACATACTGCAAATCCTCCCTCCAAAAACCTTCCTCCTGCTGTCTGGATGTAGGCGAACTACAACTTCAAAACTCAAGGTCAATGCCCACAAAACCCTTCCAGTATTTCCTATTGGACATGGGAGTGCCAAGATTGGCCCAATTCCATCGTTGGTAGGGTTCAGAATGCGCTTTGATTGCAGATGAACTATAAATCCCAGCAAATACAACTTCCAAATGCCAAGGTCAATTTTCCCAAAGCTCCACCAGTGTTCACTTTGGGGCATATTGAGTATTCATGCCATGTTTGGTCCACAGTCTCTGGATGTAGGTGAACTACAACACCAAAACTCAAGGTCAAAGCCCACCAAACACTTCTAGAATGTTTTGTTGGTCATGGGAGTTCTGTGTGCCAAGTTTGGTTCAATTCAAAGCAAGAAGACAGTTTCTGAGAGAAAGTCTGCTGTGGGCCTCTCCCAGGAATGTGGCCTTGGGAATCTACAGGAGAAACACTCCGTTCATGAGCAACGTTGGGCTTTTCAACAAGACCTGGCTTTGACGCAAGCCCAGAAACACCCTCATCCCCATTGACATCAGACAAAGGAGGAAACCATCAGACAAAGGAAAACCATCATCCCCATTGACATCAGGCACAGGCCCAGGAAAACTATCATCCCCATTGACATCAGACACAATCACAGGCTGAACCACAACAGTTTGGTTCAATTCCATCATTGGTGGAGTTTCTGAGTGCTCTTTGATTGTAGGTTAACTATAAATCCCAGCCACTACAACACCCAAAAGTGCAGGCAAGAGAGACCCTGTGAGAATGGAGGGAGACCGTTTCTGAAAGACTGCTGTGGGCCTCTCCCAGGAATGTGGCCTTGGGAATCTACAGGAGAAACACTCCGTTCATGAGAAACCTTGGGATTTTCAACAAGACCTGGCCTAGACACAAGCCCAGAAACACTCTCATCCCCATTGACATCAGGACAAGACAAAGGACTAGGAAAACCATTATTCCCATTGACATCAGACACAATCACAGGCTGAACCACAACAGTTTGGATCAATTCCATCGTTGGTGGAGTTTCTGAGTGCTCTTTGATTATAGGTGAACTATAAATCCCAGCCACTACAACTCCCAGCTGAACCACAACCGTTTGGTTCAATTCCATCGTTGGTGGAGTTTCTGAGTGCTCTTTGATTGTAGGTGAACTATAAATCCCAGCCACTACAACTCCCAGCTGAACCACAACAATTTGGTTCAATTCCATCATTGGTGGAGTTTCTGAGTGCTCTTTGATTGTAGGTGAACTATAAATCCCAGCCACTACAACTCCCAGCTGAACCACAACCGTTTGGTTCAATTCCATCGTTGGTGGAGTTTCTGAGTGCTCGTTGATTGTAGGTGAACTATAAATCCCAGCCACTATAACACCCAAAAGTGCAGGCAAGAGAAAGCCTGTGAGAATGGAGGGAGACAGTTTCTGAAAGACTGCTGTGGGCCTCTCCCAGGAATTTAGCCTTGGGAATCCACAGGAGAAACACTCTGTTCATGAGCAAGCCTTGACGCAAGCCCAGAAACACCCTCATCCCCATTGACATCAGACACAAAAACAGGCTGAACCACAACAGTTTGGTTCAATTCCATCATTGGTGGAGTTCAGAGTGCTCTTTGATTGTAGGTGAACTATAAATCCCAGCCACTACAACACCCAAAAGAGCAGGCAAGAGAAAATGGAGGGAGACAGTTTCTGAAAGACTGCTGTGAGCCTCTCCCAGGAATGTGGCCTTGGGAATCCACAGGAGAAACACTCCGTTCATGAGCAACCTTGGGCTTTTCAGCAAGACCTGATTTGATTGTAGATGAACTATAAATCCCAGCACCTACAATTCCCAAATGACAAAATCAATCATCCCCAACCCAACTAGTATTCAAATGTGTGCCAAATTTGGTCCAGTGAATGGAAATACATCCTGCATATCAGATATTTATATTACGAGCAAAATTAGAGTTACGAAGTCGCAACGAAAACAATGTGGTGGTTGTGGGTCACCACAACATGAGGACCTGTATTGCGGGGCCGCGGCATTAGGAAGGTTGAGAAACACCGTCCTAGATCTCTCTCTCTCTTTCTATCTGTCACCGTTCAGCCAGGAGGATAAAGGCATCAGCGGGCATAATAAATAAACCATTGTCTGCTTTCTCCGAGTGAGGTACAAACAGGCGCTAATTAGCGCTGGCTAATTACCTAGCCGGGGAAGGATTAACGCTCCTGGTTTCCAAAAAGGAGGGGAAGCGGGGAAGGGACGCTAAGCTGCCTTCGCTGCTGCTGCTGCTGGGCTGGAGATTGGCTGAGAGCACCAAATCCAGGGATAGTTATTTATTACTCCGAGGATTAGAGAGAGACCCCTTTACAACCAACTTTTAGGGAAGGGAGGCATGACCAAGGGGAGGGATGCCGTTCCAGAGCGGAAGACTGGGATTTAAGGGGAGCCAGAGAGATTTCCAGTGACTTTTGTAAGGCTGGCGTTGAAGAAAATCCTCTTGTATATTCATGACGGGAACTCGCTTTGCAAGGCAGTTTAATTAGCAGGGAGCGTTTGCGTGTTGTTGTGGTTTTCGGCTTCCCAGAAGCATCTGATGGGTCCCTCTGAGAAATTGGATGCCAACTAAACTTGCAACAACCGGTGGAGCTACTAGCAAGTAGCAGAAGTAGGGCAGAAGTAGGGCAGAAGAGTCTCTCTGTGCAGGGCTGTTTGTACAACTGGGATGACTGAGACTGGGAGAAAATGCACGTCTTGACCTGATTTGGGGAATCATCCTCATCATCATCATCTTCAAACCAGGGTTATCTGGAATGTAAGGTTAGAAGGCACATAGCTCTTGGGGAAAATTTTCTCAAGGAAGTTGGTATCACTGCCGTGTAGCTGGAAGCCAGTGGAAGTGAACGAGCAGTGCCAATCATCAGTAGCTCATTGACGGGCGTTGTGGTGAGGGTTAAAGATGAACGTCCTCATTCCGTTTCCTTCCAAGTGCAAAGTTCACTCTGTACAAGGGGTATCTGGAAAGTAAGGTTACAAGGCATGTAGCTCTCAGGGAATTTTCTCAGGGGAAATTGGTAGCGCTGCTGTGTAGCGAGAAGCCAGTGGAAGCAAATGAGCAGTGCCAGTCGTGAGTAGCTCATCAACTGGCGTTGTGGTGAAGGTTAGAGATGAGTGTCCTCATTCCATTTCCCTCCAAGTGCAAAATTCGCTCTATACGAGGCATATCTGGAAAGTAAGGTTACAAGGCTCATAACTCTCACGGGAAATTTTCTCAGGAGAAGTTGGTATCACTGCTGTGTAGCACGAAGCCAACGGAAGCAAACGAGCAGTGCCAGTCGTCAGTAGCTCATCGACTGGCGTTGTGCTGAGGGTTAGAGATGAACGTCCTCATTCCATTTCCCTACAAGTGCAAAGTTCGCTCTGTACGAGGGATATCCGGAAAGTAAGGTTACAAGGCACGTAACTCTTGTGGGGAATTTTCACGGGGGAAGTTGGTATCACTGCCGTGTAGCTGGAAGTCAGTGGAAGCGAACGAGCAGTGCCAGTCGTCAGTAGCTCATCAAATGGCTTTGCACTGTACGAGGGATATCTGGAAAGTAAGGTTACAAAACATGTAGCTCTCATGGGGAATTTTCTCAGGGGAATTTGGTATCACTACTGTGTAGCGGGAAGCCAATGGGGAAAAAAATGAGTAGTGCCCATCATCAGTAGCTCATTGACCGAGAAGCCAGTGGAAGCGAATGAGCAGTGCCAGTTGTCAATAGCTCATCGAATGGTATTGTGGTGAAGGTTAGAGATGAGCAATCTCAATCTATTTCTCTTCAAGTGCAAAGTTTGCGCTGTACGAGAGATATTCAGAAAGTAAGGTTATAAGGCACGTAGTTCTCGTGGGGAATTTTCTCGGGGAAAGTTGGTATCACTGCTGTGTAGTGGGAAGCGAGTGGAAGCAAACGAGCAGTGCCAGTCGTCAGTAGGTCATCGACTGGCGTTGTGGTTAGGGCTATAGATTAGCGTTCTCATTCCTTTTCCCTCCAAGTGCTTCAGGCTCCAAAGTTTCATATCAAGACATAAAATATGAGATATTAAACAAAAACATACAAGGGTTATCCTAAATGTATTGAGGGGTCGTGTCCAAGTCTGGGGGTTGGTGCTACAAGGAGGTGTCTACAGAGGTTGTCTGTAGATACCTCCTAGGTCATGTGGCCGGCATGACTGCATGGAGTACCATTATGTTCCTGCCGAAGTGGTACCTATTGATCTACTAACATGTTTTCGAACAACTAGGTTGGCAGAAGCTGGGGCTAACAGCGGGAGCTCATCCCGCTCCCTGGATTTGAACCACCAACCTTTTGGTCAGCAAGTTGAGCAGCTCAGCAGTTTAACTCACTGTGCCACCAGGGAATGGTCTTTCGAAAAGCCTGGTTTCAGAAAGAAACTTTAGTCTCTACGGCAGCAAATCGACGCAGCTGCGATTCCACTTCCGCCTGCCTTTCGCTCTTCTCCCCTCCCTCCCTCTCTTCGCTCTCCTCTTCTTCTGCGTGTTGATGGGAGGGATCTCTTCTCGGTTGTCCTTTAATACCCCAAACTAATCCCCTTAATGCGCTGAAGGGGTTTTCACCAGAGCCGAGAAAGAAAGAGGCTTCTTTCTCCGAGTCTGGGAAAGAGGCTTCTTTCTCCGAGTCTGGGAAAGAGCCAGCCGTGTTCACGGAGGGAGGGAGGAAGGCCGGCTCCGTCTGCAAGACGGGCGAGAAGGAGAACCCAAGGATCTTCTTGCTCTCTAAGGCTGACAAAGGAAGCCAGAAGAGGAAGCAAGCAGGAGGGCTGCCTCCGGAGTCATGAAAGGGTAGGTTGCCGCAGAGCTTGGAAGGGACACAAATCGGTCGCTGAAGTTGCGACGGATTTGTAACGGCCACACTCCCACTGAGTCAGGAAATTTTCTGGAGCTGGATTTAGGCCAAATTCGCCTGTACTGTAGAAAGCTTTCATAGCCAGAATCACTGTGTTGTTGTGAGTTTTCCGCGCTGTCTGGCCACATCCCAGTAGCATTCTCTCCTGACCTTTCACCCACGTCTATGGCAGGCATCCTCAGAGGTTGTGAGGTTTGTTAGAAACTAGGAAAATGAGATACACATACACACACACATATATAAACAGCACTTGTCTAGTTTCCAACAGACCTCACAACTTCTGAGGATGGCTGCCACAGATGCAGGCAAAACGTCAGGAGAGAATGCTTCTGGAACGTGGCCACACAGCCCGGAAAACGCACAGCAAACCAACTATCTTTGCCTGCTTTGATCATTATTGCACAGGGGTGTAGTCTTGCTCTATAAACCACATTTTCCTAGTTTCCAGGTTGTGTCTCTTGGAAACTGGCTAATCCCCTCCCAACAAAGGATTCCCCAGGCAGGAATCAGCCAGGCATGAAGCTGTGAGGTTGTGAGGTCTGTTGGAAACAGGCTAATCGCCTCCTAACAAAGGATTCCCCAGGCAGGAATCAGCCAGGTCTTGAAGCTGCAAGGCTGTGAGGTTTGTTGGAAACGGGCTAATCGCCTCCTAACAAAGGATTCCCCAGGCAGGAATCAGCCAGGCCTTGAAGCTGCAAGGCTGTGAGGTTGTGAGGTCTGTTGGAAACTAGGCATGTGGGGTTTATATATCTGTGGGATAATGTCCAGGGTGGGAGAACGAACTCTTGTCTGCTGGAGGCAAGTGTGAATGTTGCAATTGGCCACCTTGATTTGCATGTAATAGCCTTGTAGCTTCAAAGCCTGGCTGATTGCTGCCTGGGGGAATCCCTTGTTGGGAGGTGTTAGCTGGTCCTGATTGATTCTTGTCTGGAATTCAGACTAACTCAACCAAAGAAGTCAGCCATAGCAGAGCACCTGAAGAACCAACCTGGACACAGCCTATTATTTGAACCAACCTGGCAGATGCTCTCTCTGTTCCAAAAACTCATTTTCCTGCTTTCTGGTGTAGAAACCTGTTTGCAGCCCTATGCGTGGAGTCAACCCGGGTAAGGTATTCCTATCTTTTCCCAGCAACTTACAGTGTCTCCTATTTTCTCCGCAGATCTCCTCCGGGCGCGGCAAGAGGTGGCAGCGGCAGCCCGCAACCCCGGCACCATGGAGCCTCACCTCTCGTCGGCTGCCAACTCGTCCAGCCAGCGCCGGAAACAGGGGCTCCCCCAGCACCGGGATTCACACTTCACTGAGAGGTATTTACTTAATTATTTACTTATGTAATGCCTTGTATGTTGGCTCTCCAAGTGTTGTGTCTTGGTGGTGGGTCCGTAGGTGCCTGTGGAGCCCTATTCTTGACCCGCATGTTTTCTTGCAGTGAGGATAGAAGGCGGTCCCAGTCAGGGTTGGCTTGATGCGCTTTCCTCTTGGCACATTTCTCCCTTTCACCCTCCATTCTGCAGCCCTGCTGTTCACAGCTGACCTCCAGTTAGAGCATTCAAGGGCCAAGGCTTCCCAGTTCTCAGAGTTTTTAAGGTTGGCTTTAAGCGCATCTTTCAATCTTTTTTCCATCCACCAATATTCTGTTTTCTGTTGAGTTGGTGGTATATTAACTACTTTGAGTGATGGTGATTTTTGGGCTTTTGGACAATGTGGCCAGTCTAGCAGAATGGATAGCGTAGGAGCATCACTTCAGTGCTGGAGGTCTTTGCTTCTTCCAGCACGCTGACATTTCTCCGCTTGTCTTCCCAAGAGATTTGCAGAATTTTCAGGAGGCAACACTGATGGAATCGTTTCAGGAGTTGTCTGACATCTGTAGACAGTCTACATTTCGCAGGCGTATAGCAGGGTTGGGAGGACAATAGCTTTATAAACAAGCACCTTGGTCTCCCTACGGATGTCCCGGTCCTCAAACACTCTCTGATTTTTTCTATGAAGTGTGCTGAGTCCTTGATGTACTGTGTAGTGAGCCCAATATGGCTTTGTAACTGTGCAGCCAGAAATTTTGCTAAGTCGTACGTGGGGGATCCAATGGCACCCACGTTATGGTTGGGGGTCATCACAACACAAGGAAATGGATTAAGGGGTGGCGGCATTCAGAAGGTTGAGGATCATCTGTGGGAAGGCCACATCTCAGGTTGCCATAGAGCAGTGGTCCCCAAACTACGACCCGCGGGCCACTTCCGGCCCGCCAAGGGCACTTATCTGGCCCGCGGAGGAGGAGTGCACCCCCCCACAGTGCCCCTCCCTTGGCAGGCTCACGCTGCCCATCGGGTCTGACGGATAGCGTGAGCCAGCCAAAGGCAGCTGCTCCTTGTGGCCTACTCGCACGTAAAGCACCTTACAAAGTGCTTTACGCACGAGTAGACCGCGCGGGACTGCTCCTCCCTTGGCAGGCTCACGCTGCCCATCTGACCCAATGGGCAGCGTGAGCCAGCCAAGGGAGGCTGCCCCGGCACTTCATGCAGTCATGTTGGCCACATGAGCTTGGAGGTGCCTACGGACAACGCCGGCTCTTCTACTTAGAAATGCAGATGAGCACCACACCCCAGAGTCAGACACGACTGGACTTCATGTCAGAGGAAAACCTTTAACTAGGAAAATTGTGGAAGATCCAGGGTGGGAGAAAGAACTCTTGTCTGTTGGAGGTAGGTAGGAATGTTTCAATTGGCCACCTTGATTACCATTTCATAGCCTGACAGTTTTTAGGGAGAATCCTTTGTTGAGAGGTGATTAGCTGGCCCTGATTGTTTCTTGTCTGGTGTTCCCCTGTGTTTGAGTGTTGTTCTTAATTTACAGTTATAATTTTAGAGTTTTTTTTAATACTGGTAGCCAGATTTTGTTCAGACTAGAAATAGGAAGATTTCCCATTCTCTGCTCCTGGAATTACTGCCTAAAGAGGGCTAGAAAGAACCCCCTCGAAGGGCCCTTCCACACAGCCAAATAAGATATGTGACATGTGCATAGGAATTTTTTATTGGTTTTTTTTAAACTATAGTCCGGTCCTCCAACGGTTTGAGGGACAGTGAACTGGCCCCCGGTTTAAAAAGTTTGAGGACCCCTGCCATAGAGGATCATCTGTGGGAAGGCCACATCTCAAAGCCTTGGAGTCCTCGAGTCCGAGTTGTTTACGAGCAAGGAGACACTTTGGTCTTATGGTTGGGGGTCACCACAACACGAGGAACTGGATTAAAGGGTCGCGGCATTCAGAAGATTGAGGATCATTTGTAAGAAGGCCACATCTCAGGTTGCCGTAGAGGGTCATTTGTGGGAAGGCCACATCTCAAAACCTTGGAGTCCTTGAGTCCCAGTTCTGTTTACAAGCAAGGAGATACTTTGGTCTTTCCCATCTGATGGCTCCGAGTTCTGTGCAGATCATGGAGAAGTCACTTCCTTTGGACTCTGAAGGTCTCTGGGATTTACGTTTTCTAAAAGGAACTTGGCTCAATCTTGGGTCTGGTCTAACTCTTCTGGGAAGGAGACGAAGTGTGTTTGTGTGCGTATATGAGACAGACAGACACTCTGCTTGACCGACCTCATTCCAAAGCCATCCAAGCGTGCAGCAGACAGATCCGTCTCTCAGGAATGCGGACCGAAGCAGGTTCCAGTCCCGAGGAAACCTCCCAGGCACTGTGTGGCCTGGAGAGCAGCCAAAGGACGGTCTGAGAAGTCACTTTAGTGGAGGAGACTGGGAATGTGCAAAGAGAGCAAATGCACATCCTGTTTTCGATTCTCGACTAAACAGGTACTCACTTCCCTGAGGGCTGGATTTGGTCTCTAACTCAACTGGTGGCTTCTGATGGAGAGTTCGGGGTTTGTTGTGTTCCCATCTGTTCCGATGCGGAATTCAGTCACCCATCTTCCTTCCCTTGTAGGTTGCCTCCAAGCCACTCCCAGATTCAGGCAACACAGGCCTTGTTCAATTACGCTATTTAGAACTAGAGAACATGTCTCAAATCCATGTCTCGCGGGCCGAATCCGGCTCGCCACATCACTTAATGTGGCCCTCCAGGTGCTGTTTTCCTCGCTAGACATCACGACTAGAGCTGAGGAGAGTTGTGATACAGGAACATCTCTTCTGCTTCCCCCAACCTCAAGCTACAAGTACTATTGCAGTGTTTCTCAACCTTCCTAATGCCGTGACCCCTCGTGTTGTGGTGACCCCTCAACCATAACATTTTTTTTAGTAAACAAAGTAACAAAGTTTATTTATAGCTTCTGGCTCCAACGCTTATGGTTACATTTGTGTGTTCTGTTACAGTCTTGAGTCCTACATTCAATATCTTTCCCTTAGTTAACTTTTCTTATCAAACTTCAACTGTTTCACATCAACAAATATGTTACTTTTTTATACACTCTTGACAGGACTATTTTCCGCCTTAAACCACACTGGCACTTCTTTATTTTCCTTAAAACTTAAGCTCCATTTTCTTTTCTTTTTTAAAAAAGTGATCTTTATTGAGATTTTCTTGAAATATGCATATAGGTAAAAGTAGTGAAAAGAAAGAAAAAAGCAAACCATAACATTATTTTTGTTGCTACTTCATAAATGTTTTATTTATTTATACCCCACCCTTCTCACCCTCGAGGGGGGGACTCAGGGCGGCCTCACAAACACCATACGGTGTCGTCACAATAAAATAATCAACAATACATTAAAATATTAAAACAATAATTAAAATAAATGATTAACACATGCCTATTAAAATCAGAGTCTAAAATCCAGTCTGGGTCAAATCGTTGCCATGAGTGTTAAAATCTTCTTTTACGAGCTGCTCACTAATTGAAACTTTTGGTCCTGTTATGAATCGCAATGTAAATATCTGATATGCAGGATGTATTTTCATTCAGAAAATTGGGTACAAATACCTGATATGCCCAAATTTGAATACTATTGGAGTTGGGAGGAGGATTGATTTTGTCATTAAGAGCACCTAAAGCTTTGGAGAGCTTCTGTTCAACCATTTCCAAGCTCCCTGCTTGAGCAGTGATGGCACGATCGTCAGCATAGATGAAACTGTATGTCCCTTCTGGCAGTGGCTGGTCATATGTGTAAATGTTAAACATTGATGGTGCAACCTGGTTTTACCAGTAATGGCACCAAAAGCTTCGGAGAACTTCTATTCAACCATTTCAAAGCTCCCTGCTTGAGCAGTGATGGCACAATCATCAGCATAGATTAAACTCATATCTATGGTTGGGGGTCACCACAACCTGAGGAACTGTATTAAGGTGCTATGGCATTAGGAAGATTGAGAACCACTGGCCTAAATCTTCAGAGAGCTTCTGTTCAACCATTTCACTGCTTGAGCRGTGGTGGCGTGATCGTCAGCATAGATGAAACTCATATCTACAGTTGGGGGTCACCACAACCTGAGGAACTGTATTAAGGTGTTATGGCATTAGGAAGATCGAGAACCACTGATCTAAAGCTTTGGAGATCTGTTTAACCATTTCAAAGCTACCTGCTTGAGCGGTGATGGCACAATCGTCAGCATAAGAACTGTATTAAGGTGTCATGGCATTTGGAAGGTTGAGAACCACTGGCCTAAATCTTCAGAGAGCTTCTGTTCAACCGTTTCACTGCTTGAGCGGTGGTGGCATGATCGTCAGCATAGATGAAACTCATATCTATAGTTGGGGGTCACCAAAACCTGAGGAACTGTATTAAGGTGTCATGGCATTAGGAAGGTTGAGAACCACTGGCCTAAATCTTCAGAGAGCTTCTGTTCAACCATCTCACTGTTTGAGCGGTGGTGGCATCCTCGTCAGCATAGATGAAACTCATATCTATGGTTGGGGGTGACCACAACCTGAGGAACTGTATTAAGGTGTTATGGCATTAGGAAGATCGAGAACCACTGACCTAAAGCTTTGGAGATCTTCTGTTTAGACATTTCAAAGCTCCCTGCTTGAGCAGTGGTGGCATGATCGTCAGCATAGATGAAACTCATATCTATGGTTGGGAGTCACCACAACCTGAGGAACTGTATTAAGGTGTCATGGCATGAGGAAGGTTGAAAACCACTGGCCCAAATCTTCAGAGAGCTTCTGTTCAACCATTTCACTGCTTGAGTGGTGGTGGCATGATCGTCAACATAGTTGAAACTCTTAGTCCCTTTTGGCAGTGGTTGATCATTGGTGTCTATCCTGGAAAATTCACGTGAAGTCTAATCGTGTCCAACTCTGGGAGTTGATGCTCATCTCCATTTCTAAGCCAAAGAGCCGGAGTTGTCCATAGACACCTCCAAGGTCA